GTATGAATTACAAATAATCAGATTTTACTCTAATTGGCTGTCCAAACTGTCCCTGGAAATTGAATCTGTACAAATTAATAGAGTTTCTAAAATGTGCAGAAGAGTATCCTCTTCAGACCACTTTAATCTCTGAAAATAACAACATATCCATAAAAATGAATACTACTTGATAATAGTTTAATTAATTGCTTTCTTGTTTGTCATGATCAAAATCATTAATATTTACTTCTCAAAGTCCTCTAACCCTAGGCAAATGATTGGGCAGATAACTACATTTATAGGCAATTTTTTTCCACTTTAAAAAATTATTCAGCTTTGTGGACACTTACTGTTTCGATGGAATATTTCCAATATTTCCCCTAATAAGTCTTGATTCAAAAAACATTTCCTGAGCACAGTTTATTGATTGTTAACAGAACAGAGAGATGTGTCCTTTAGCTTTGACAACACTGATCATCATAATCGACCAGTTTTGTTGCCTTTCAATGTCAACTTTATTTACATTGTTGTAGTCATGTATATTGTTCCTTTGACTCTGGTCTATTCATTCTGTATCACTTCATACATATATTCCCATGTTTCTCTGAATTCCTCATATTCCTCATTGGGTACTCTGCAGTAATATTTCCATATATATAGTATAGTTTGTCCAACCATTCTTGAGTTGTTAGGCATGTATTTTTTCCTGTTATCATAAATAATACTAAGAATATTTCTATTTGTGAGCATTTTCAACAATCTATTTGGGGCATAGTCCCAGTAGTGAAATGTCTGGTTTTAAAGCTATGCCTAATTTTGTAACTTGCCCTGCAGAATTCCAAATTGTTTTTCAGAATAGTTAAATCAACTCCCAGCTTCACTAGCATTGAATTAATGTGCTCATCTTTTCATGGCCCTTACAACAAGGAGATTTCCCATATTTTCCCATCTTTGCTGCATCTTTGTTGCATCCAAATCTATGTATTTATATGATTATTAGTGATTTTGAACCTGTTTTCAGGTGGTTGTTTGTAATTTATAATTCTTTTCAAAAATGTTCACATTCCTTGACCACCTATCTACTACAGAATAGCTATTAATTTTTTAGATTTTTGTCAATTCTGGTATATTTTGGGTGTCAGAATTTTCTCCATTCCTATATTTAATTCTGATTATAACAACATCATCCAACATTTGTTAAGTATTTACTCTGTGCCAGGCACTGTGCTTGCTATCAATTTCATTTGTGCGAAACCTTTTAACTTAAATAGATATTATCTACTTTACCTTTTATTATCTTTTTCTTTTATTATTCTATGTCTGCTTACAAAAATTTCCTCTATTCATAATTGTGAAAGACATAACTGTCCATTTTCCTTTAATTTTTTTGTGGTTGATTTTTTTTTTCAAATTTAGATATCTTGTCTATTTGGAATTTATTGTGGAATGAGGTGTAGAATACTGGCCAAACCTTTGTTAACATTATTTCCATGGCCAATCATCTATCCGGTACTTATAACACACTAGGTATGTATATAGACTAACTCCACATAATGTTTCTAAGTTTTTAGAGGGCTCTCAAGTGGAAGATGGAGTTAGATTATTCTTGTGTAAGTTGAATAGGAGCAGGTTTAGGCTTAATGAGAAAAAAAAAACAGACTTGCTAACAAGTCATAGCTTACCAAAAGTGGGATAACCAAAGAGAGTTGGAAGAGGGCTTAGAGATCACTGGTTTTCCTCATTTGCTAGATGAAGAAATGGAGACATTTAGAGTTCAAGAGATGTTTATTCAACAGCAACATTTATTAAATGCCTTTGTTATTGTAATTATTAAGTCATTTTTAGTCATGTCTAAGTCTTTATGACCCCAGTGGGTTTTTCTTGGTAAAGATACTGGAGTGGTTTGCCATTTCCTTCTCCAGGGTCCCCATCTTACATTTGAGGAAGCTGAGGCAAACAGAGGTCAAATGACTTGCCTAGGGTCACACAGTTATGAGTGTCTGAGGCTGGATTTGAACTCAGGTCTTCCAGACTCTGGGTCCTAGGCTCTATCCACTGTGCTACCCAGCTGCCCAGTGCTAAAAGCATACCATGTGTTATGTGCTGGGAGAGATAGAAAGTTTAGAGAAAACATATTCTTCGCCCTTAGGTACAAGGGAGTAAGCTGAATAAGTACAGCACAGATTTCAATGATATAAAATATGATACGGTAAATGCTTTGTGAAGTCTGGTGGGGAAGATGTATAGGCTCATAGATTTAGAGCTCAAAGAAACCTCAGAGATTACACAGTCTAACTCCCTCATTCTACAGATGGGGAAACTGAGATCAGTCATAAGACATTTATTAAGTGCCTTCTATGAGCCTGATATTCTGCTAAGCAATGGTGATACAAAAAGAGGCAAAAGACAGTCTCTGTCCTCAAGGAAATTACAATCTAATGGGAGAGACAGGCAAACAAATATGTTCAAACAAGCTATATAAAGGATAAATAGGAGATAATTAACAGAGGGAAGGCACTGGAATTAAGAGAGGCTGGGGAAAGCTTCCCGTAGAAGGTGGGATTTTAGATGGGACTTAGAGGACGCCAGGAAGGTCGGTAGTCAAAGAGGAGGATGGAGGGCATTCCATCCATGAGGGGTAGCCAGAGAAAAGGCCCCAGTTGAGAGATGGAGCATCATGTTCATGGAACAGCCAGGAGTCCAGTGTCACTGCATTGAAGAGTACCTAGTGGGCAGTAAGGTTTAAGAAGATGGGAAAGGTAAAAGGGAGCCAGGTTATGAAGGGCTTTGAACAGCAAACAGGGCATTTTGTACTTGATCCTGGAGGCAATAGAAAGTTTGTTGAATGTGTGTGTGTGGGGGTGTTATGGTTGAACCTGTGCTTTAGGAAAATCACTCTAGTGACCGAGTGGAGGAAGGATTAGAATGGGGAGAGACACAAGGCAGGTAGACCCACTAGCACCTATTGCAATAGTCCAGGTATGAGGCGATGAGAGGGCAGTGTCAGAGGAGAGAAGGGAGTGAATTTGAGAGCTGCTGCAGAGGTGAAATCTGTAAGAGAAGCAGAAGAGGTGAAATCTACAAGAGATACTGCAGAGGTGAAATCTATAAGAGAAGGGAAGAGGTGAAATCTACAAGAGATGCTGCAGAAGTGAAATCTATAAGAGAAGGAGAAGAGGTGAAATCTACAAGAGATGCTGCAGAAGTGAAATCTACAAGAGATGCTACAGAGGTTAAATCTGTAAGA